TTATCGTTTTATTATATGATAATATATTATAGCCATTCCTATTATCATCTTTATTATTTCTTATTACTAATCCTTATCATCATTATCAATTATCATTATCATCCTTGATTCTACAACAATAAAAAAGACAACAATGTCATTTATTATTTCGTTTTCTGTTGCTATTTTGTCTTTCTCCGCTTCCCGTTTTCAGATACTTGTTTATATATTTGGATGGGAGACTAAAACAAATGTGACAACGAGATCTAGCAATACAAATATTCTTTGGGTTCGTGTCCCTTTGGTAGAGAAAACAAAGTCGGATTATTACGATATATAGAGCGTCTGTTATCTCTCTTCTTTTTCTTCCTAATTATTCTCATAATTTCTCTCCTTTTTTATTTCTTTCTCATGTTAATTCTATTCCTCTTCGCTTCTCACGTCCCAAGATACCAGCGAGCGCTATCTCTTGCAGGGCTTCGATAAGTCTCTTCCGGTACATTTATAAGATGTGGCCCCGTAAGCGACCGAGCTACCTATCTTCCCTCTCCATCNTCTTTTTATGCGTTGTTTGGTTTGCTCTGTGCTCCGATGTGGATCTTTATATAGAGTAGTGTGAGTTTGTTTCTCTCTCTTCGTCTCGCTCCCTCTCTCCCTTTCCTTCTCTCTCTCTCTCTCTCGTTCTCTCACTCTCTCCGCTCTTGCTCTCGCTCTCTCCTCTTCCTCTCTCTCTCTCTCTCTCTCTCTCTCTCTCTTCTCTCTCTCTCTCTCTCTCTCTCTCTCCTCTCCTTCTTCCTCCCTCCCTCTCTCTCTCTCGCTCTCGCTCTCCCTCCCTCTCTCTCCTTCCTTCCTTCCTTTCCTCTCTCTCTCTCTCCCACCTCTCCCTCTCTCTCTCTCTCTCTCTCTCTCTCTCCATTATGTTTATCTATATTTATCTATATAGCTCTCTATTTCTTTATACACCTGTCTATCATCTATCTATCTCCCTCCCTCCCTCCCTCCCCCTCTCTCCCCTCTTTCTCGCACTCCCCCCCTCTCTCCCCTTCCTTACTCCTCCCCCTCCCTCCGACCCACCCCCTCTCTCCCCCCTCTCTAAACCCCCCTTTCCAACAACCCCCTCCTCACCCCCCTCACTCCCTCACTCCCTCTCTCCCCTCTTCACCTCCCCCCTCTCTCCCCTCCCTCACCCCCCACTCCCTCTGCAAAAGTTCCCCCCAGAGAGAAGACGATTTTAGCCCTGTCAACTGTGTCATATGACGAAAGGTGCGGCGATGTTTGTCACGTGCCAGGTGAGGTGTCATGCGCCGCCAAAAATTCAGATAATTAGAACCATTATAGATAATTGCCCATTGTCGTGTATGAGTGTGTGTGTGTGTGTTGTGTGTGTGTGTTTGTGTGTGTGTGTGTGTGTGTGTGTGTGTGTGTGTGTGTGTGTGTGTGTGTGTGTGTGTGTGCTATGTGTTGGTTGTGTGTGTTGTGTGTGTGGTGTGGTGTTGTGTGTGTGTGTGTGTGTGTGTTGGGTGTGTGTGTGTGTGTGTGTGTTGTGTGTGTTGTGTTGTTGTGTGTGGTGTGTGTGTGTAGTGTGTGTGTGGTGTTGGTTCGTGTGTATGAATGTGGAGGTTGGGGTTCGTTGTTGTGTCTATGGTGTTGTTTGTGTGTGGTGTGTGTGTGTGTGTTGTGTGTGTTGTGTGTGTTGTGTGTGTTGTGTGAGTGTGTGGTGTGTGATGTGTGTGTTGTGTTGTGTGTGTGTGTGTGTGTGTGTTGATTGTTGTGTGTCTGTGTGTGTTGTGTATGTGTGTATTTGTTGATTAGAAGAAGAAAATAGATAAAGGAATAAAAAAAAAGAGAAGAAAAAAAAGAACGAGAAGACGAAGAAGAAAAAAAAGCATAAGAAAAGAAAAACGACAAGAAAGAATAAGAAACAAACAAGAAGGGAAAAAGAAAAAAAAAACACCGGAAAAGGAGAGAGCAAGAGGGAAAAGATAAGAAGAAATTAAGACTAAAAAAAAGCCAAGAAAAAGATAACTGGAGCATCTCGACTCCCTTTGCCAAAAACTTCATAGAGATGCGCAACGGTGCCCATTCCCCCCCCCTTCCCCCCCCCCCCTATCCCCCTCCCCCCCCCCACCACCCCCCTCCCTCCTACCCGTTTCTAAACTCTCTACTCTCATCTCATCTCTCTCTCTTCTCTGTCTTTCCCTTGAATCTTGCTACTCTTTCCCTTTGATTTTCGTTCTTCTCTCTTCTTTCTCTTCTCTCTCTTTCTCTTCCTCTCTCTTCTCTCTTCTCTCTTCCTCTGCTCTTTCCCTTATTTTTTTCTTCTCTCTTCTCTCTTAATCTCTCTTCTCTCTTCTCTCTCTTCTCTTCCTCTTCTTCTCGCTCTCTCTTCTCTTTTCTCTCTTCTCTGTTCTCCTTCTTCTTCTTCTTTCTTCCTCTTTCTTCTCTTCTCTCCTCTCTCTTCTCTCTTTCTCCTCTCTTTTCTCTCTTCTCTCTCTTCTCTTTCTCTTCTCTCTTCTCTCTC